GCCTTTGTCCAGCAGTGGACGTCATTTGGCTGAAACGAACGAAGCAAGCTAAGCCAGAGCTATTTACTAAGCAAGTAAATCGTGCAAACAAAGACCATCGATGGCGTGGGAACGGACGTGTGGCAGCTGTCAGCCTAGCGGATTGAAGGTGCTAAAGCGCTTTCAGTGCAAGATGCAAATGTTGTCTTAACACGCTAACTGCCCACAGACCGTATGTATTCCTGTATAACATGCCATAGTTAAGTGAAAGCAATGCTAGGCAGATTTGTAGAAATCCTTGGGCGAGGCCTTTGTCTAGCAGTGGACGTCAATCAGCTGAAACGAACAAAAGCTAGGTATTTTCTCAGATATTCTGATTTACATGTACCTGTTATAGTTACCCACATAAAAAATGAAATAAACTACGAAATGTAACATCTTCTGGGAACTTAAAACTAACCAAAACTATACTTACAGTGAATGACCGTCATGATCCTCTTAAAACGGGCAGATTCTTAGGCTGAATTGCACCATCTTACTTTAACTTTGAATATAAGAAGCACCGGTTATTGTTATTGTTACGGTTAAAATAGGGTGCAACTCAGCCTACCACGTGGCAGGGACCAGAGAGTGTCGCGTGCCGAAACAGCTCTCCAAAGCGAAGAAGGTGGTAGTTGCGTCCTGCGAGGAGTTCTCCCTCGCAGTCGCCGACCGCCTGACCAAGGAGCAGGCCTCCTCACAGGCAGCAAGCTCACAGGGGGTACCCTCCGGGGGGAGAAGGCCCTCAACGAAGTGAGTCCCAGAGCGCGCGCGGGTGTTCCGCACGCTTTGGAGGGAGCCGGTTGCGGAAGATGCGCGAGGTGCACTCGTGGTGTTAAGCCCTTGGTAAGCCCTATGTGCACCTCATATCGCGCTAGCAGAGGACCCCATGAGGTTTTAGTGGGTAGGCCCCTTAATTCTGGCGGGGAGGGTCCCACATAACCCCTGGCTGCCCCCGCGGCCCGGGGTATGCGCAAAGCATTTCCTCATGTAAAAAAAAAAAGGGTGCAACTCAGTCTAAGTTAAAAGATTGAACAACTGGTAAAGATTCAACATTTTCTGCTAACTATCAGATTACATTACATCTAGTTGGTCTGGTATCTTTAAAAATGCGAAGCGCGCGCTCGTGTCATTCCAGTCGTAGCGTTGTTTTCAAGAAAAAGAACATTGTTCCAACAAGTGGACGGCAAAGTTAATGAGAGAGTACTTAACTACTTACATACAAAGCTTTTGTTTGATAAAATAAAGCTGGGTTGCACTATCTTATCACAAACTTCAAAAGTCAGTCAAACTCCATACTAAAACACCGATCATGGTTATGGTTAAAGATAGGTGGTGCAACTTAGCCTAAATGTTACTTACAGAAGGCTAAAAGATAAATACTAAGGTTAACTTTGTTATATTATAAATGTGTGCTCATCTTTATTATTATCTTTTCCTTAATATCTAGTTCAGAAAAGTTCCACATAAGTTATTAATGAATATAAGATTGACTTTCAGCAATTAATATTTAATTAAATACCAAAAGTAATCGTAAAAGACAAATGAGGAAAAGTATGAGTAAGTTATAACAAAGAAAACTTATTTCATACTTAACTTACTTTAAGAAACAAAACATAAGCCTCTCCCAACTCCGTTTTCCGGTGAATTCTAGATACCACTTTGTACGCAGTCGAAATATATTGAAGTAATGTGATTATATCAATATGTATTTATACACCCGGCTGCTACGAGAAAGTGATACGCAAGGAAAGTTCCCCTTTGCCTTCTATTCCGATATTCCATCAGGATCTATCGTACGCGGAATACCCTGTACTGGATAAATAAAATGAAAGCCTACGTGTCCTGAATTTCGAGGCTATATCTCTAAAAACGATAATAATCACAATAATGGTCAAATTATGAGATAAATTCGAGCTATCTGATCTCAGTAGGGCTCAGGGAAATTGTAAGGAAGCAATAGAGCGAAAATTAATATCAAATTTTCCGTGCGAGCTTTGGATGCTTCCAACAGCTTTCTTGGAAATTAATAACCTAAAGTCGAGAGTGCAGCTTTTGAAATCTTACGTAATGTTACGGGGCTGCATTTTGCATATATAAATAATGATACTTTGCTCCACTGTTAGCAGGTAGTTACTAGAGTTTGCAGAGCTTTTGTTGGCCTTACTTTTGATGAAACTGAGCTTAGCACTACTTCAAAATTAGGTTGGTACGAGTATTTAAGCCAGAACGTATTATATCACAGAACAATGTTTAGCTTTGATTTTAAGATTTATTTATTACTAGCTTTTTCCCGCGGTTTCACCCGCGTGAAATTTTGTTTGTCACAGTTGGTCATAAATTATAGCCTATAAATGTTAATCTGGGTTATAAACAATAATACTGTAAAGTTTCAACAAAATCCGTTCAATAGTTTTTGCGTGAAAGAGTAACAGACATCATGACATCCAAACTTTCGCATTTATAATATTAGTAGGAATTAGGTCAAGGAGTTCACTTGAGAGTATAAGTCACGAAACTTATTTATTTATTTTATTGTTAAGAAAACAAACAGCATTATACAGGGTGTTTGGCGCATCGTGTGCCAAAATGATTTGGCGGATAGAATGGGCCATTTCCTATATTTTCAGCCCCCATAACACGTTCCATGCCAGGCGGCTACTTTTAAATTAATTTTTTTAGTAATTTCACCAAAATACCCAAATCGCATCATTTAATTTCGATTTAAAAAAAAACTACTAGGCGCAGCCCTAAAGTAAATATTTTGTTTTGACGTGCATTAATGTAGGGTTGCATCAAATGTAAATTTACTGGCAAATATCATCTAGTTTTTTTTAAATTCAGCTTTGAAGTTTTCCGAAAAGTTAAAAATGGACTGAACATTTAAGTTTACATGGGTATATATAAATAATGATACTTTGCTCCACTGTTAGCAGGTAGTTACTAGAGTTTGCAGAGCTTTTGTTGGCCTTACTTTTGATGAAACTGAGCTTAGCACTACTTCAAAATTAGGTTGGTACGAGTATTTAAGCCAGAACGTATTATATCACAGAACAATGTTTAGCTTTGATTTTAAGATTTATTTATTACTAGCTTTTGCCCGCGGTTTCACCCGCGTGAAATTTTGTTTGTCACAGTTGGTCATAAATTATAGCCTATAAATGTTAATCTGGGTTATAAACAATAATACTGTAAAGTTTCAACAAAATCCGTTCAATAGTTTTTGCGTGAAAGAGTAACAGACATCATGACATCCAAACTTTCGCATTTATAATATTAGTAGGAATTAGGTCAAGGAGTTCACTTGAGAGTATAAGTCACGAAACTTATTTATTTATTTTATTGTTAAGAAAACAAACAGCATTATATAACACACATAGAGTTACCAATTAAATTTCACAATTTTCATACTTATCATACCTAATTTAAAGTAGATAATGTTAAGGTGGAACATCAAGTGTAACGGTTTGTCTGAAAAATAATACCTGCTCTGTAACTCTCAAACTCGTCAAACACTCTGCAATGAGTACTTACCTTCAATTACATAAATATCAAGCTTTTATGCATATTTTTTTTTTAATAAAACGAATCAATAAAATCCCATCAAACATCGAATCTGTGCAATTCGCAACATCAATCGCTAGGCATTTATTTATTGCTTATACAAATAAAGAGTGTAAACACCTGCTCGATTTATTGGTTCGTCAAACATTTGCCGGATTCATTCCTTGGGAGGGCAAACAGGTAGAGAGCATTAGGACTTTTTGATGAACGATCGAATATTCTGACGAACTGTGAGCTGTGATGTGAGCAATTCGTTTGAACGGTGTTGTGCTTCCTTCTAATATATTAATGCTAGCACGGAAAACTTTCGAGATCTAATCGTTTGCGTTTTCGAATCGCCATCAAAAGATTTAGTATGAAAACTGCACCAGCGCGTGAACGTGTCGTAAAGTGAACTTAGTATGAGAAATGGATGCACGAAACTTATCTTGAGAATCAAAATTGTCATGTTATCGTTTAATTCGAAGGTTGAGTATCGAATTTTGTCGAATATGCAAACGATTCGAAGACTCAAAATAAGATGTTGCAACCCAGCCTTAAATTTCAAAATTTACACAGATATAGTCTTCAATAATAAACGATGCACAAATCTTTGCCTTCCACAATTTAACATGCACCTTCTATGTGTACCTATGGGTTGAAAGTTTTCTGAAAACAAAAATAAATGTAGAATTTAAACATACTTACTCGTACAATTTAAATAATACAATGTTTCACAACAACAAGAATCTACCTACAAAAGACCACGTCGTAACCGGTAAGTGAAAATTTTAGATAACAATTTTCAGACTTGGTACGCCTGATAGCATCTTGAAAAACATGAGTGGCATTTTTTTCAACTAGACCCTTATCACTTCGTCTACGTAATACTTTTACAAAAGTTTGAATCTTTTTTTATTTATGTGTCTTCAAAATTATTTACGTAAATATTTACCTAGCATTTAAATCGTGGTGATTTCTTTCAATTATAATATTGTTTACGTCCTTGGTACCGTTAATGGTTGATAGAGGCTTGTTTTTTATAAATAATGGCATAATGCACGATGCAGTCTGACAACAAACAAGATAGATTTAAAAAAATATTTCATGGAAAAATTGTTCTTTATTAAATACTAATTAAAAAGTTTCGATTACATATACGAGTATCTTACAAGCGTCTTATGAAGGTCAAATTTCATTTGAAATTAACGTTTTACGCGCGTGCTAAGATATAAATATCTTGGTACACAATATTACAAAAAACAATGGCCGACTTTAATTACTGTCAAAAAGTGACATACCCCATTTAGTGCGGTACCACGTTCATTTGGAGTGTGCTATCGCGAAAGGCGTCGTTAATTGCGTCGCTACGACGCGCGGCAAGTCGCGGCGGGCGGGCGGTCGATGCGAGGGCGGGCGGCGCGTCAGTCCGACGGCGGCCGCCCGGCAGACGCACGTCCTTGCATCGCGTCCGCGCCCGCCCACGCGGTATGTACAAAAAATTTCCCCGCATTCTACAGGTGCGATTCACTCCGTTCGACATGATAAATGACGCGTTTTCGCAACACTCAGCATAGGAAATAGGCCGTAGTTTAGATACAAACACGTTTCCGGATTATTTCTTACGTAAGCCATTTGTTGCGCTTTTTGTTTATGTTTTGCGGTTTTGGCGGCTTTTCGGTGTTTAAATTAGTTTTTTAATCACAAATTAATTATTATGACCATAATATTTTGATCAATTTTATCCATTTATGTTAAGACTCTTAACTATTATTTGCTAGTAAAGGAAAACTTGTAAGTTGACGATCGTAAAAAGTTTTGATTAGTTTCCCGGACTCATAATTACGGGGAAAACTTGACAGAAAGTTTATCGCATCGGTGTCAAGGGTCAAAATGACATGTACTTTCTGCGCATGACTTGTACAGAGGTAGGTACTTGCTACAGTCGACCTAAGAAAGATTAAGTTTACGTTGGTATTCTTACGCCCTACCGAAAGAAGGTCGATTTTTCAGTGCGCTTAACTTAATGTGGTGCAAGGTATACCTGTAATATGTATAGGAGTTATAGCAAAATTTCCTGTGACCTAGATTTTATTAGGAAGGTGGGAGCTCTTTGGAGGAAGTCATCTATCAGACACCACAAATTTAGACTATCTCATGCGAAGTCTGTACTTCTACAAAATATTTCAACTTTGTCATTTTGTTAACTTATCAAAAAATAATCAAATGATGACCTAAAATGTCTTGGCATCGTAAAATTTTAATGACTGGTTGTCAAATGTCAGCATTCGCAAAAACATCCTTAAAATTATGATAAAAATATATAGAGCCATAAAATAAAACCAGTGTCTTGGCACAACACATTTTACGGCCTTTTCTGGAAGCAAATAACCTTGAATGTCTCTATACTCCCATATTAAGGTTGTATTTTTAGGGTTTGCTTGTCTTACGACAGATATTCTATTTTGCGACCTCAACTTGATTGAAATTAAACCACACACTATTGTTTATTGTTTAATAATTCTCGTACTTTTATAGGATGTGTAAGATACATTCGGAAAAGTTTAAAGTGAACTCTAAACTCGATATTATTCTTTAATTTTCTAAAATGAAAAACGATTTTTTTAACTATTTTTTTTTAAATTCTATTGAGAACAATTTTAATAAAGATAGTAAGATGTTTGTTTCTTTTAATCTGAGATTAATTATTGTTGATCACATGACGATTTTTACATNTTTTACACGTCCGTTTGAGTTTGTAGAAAGCTCGTGGAATTTCCTGGAAAAAATTCCAACGGTTTTCAACAAAGGCCTTTGCGCATGCTCGGGGATCCAATTGTTGGTTTCGGATCCACATTTTTTTCTAATGGTTGTAAAACAAGTTACAAATTCATTAAGGACAAAGCTGAGAGAACCATTAATTTTAATGCGCACTTTAGTTATACGAATAAAAGCCAAAAAAATCCATTGAAGAATTACGTGCAAACGATATTGAACCGTAAGGTTGGGGTGGTACGTTCTATTCTTGTAGGATAATCCGATTGTCTTGTTAGGGGAGAAGAAAAAAACCTTAATTGACCCAACACGGATACAAATGAAAGCCTTTCCATTTCGTAGATAGTAATCAGGGTAAAGCATACTTAATTATTATAAAGTAGACACTTTCAGCCATTTTGGGTCTTCGGCAAAATTGGACGTATTAAGGTTTTTATTTTATGGCCATTGGGGATTGTGTAGGTATTTAAAACCAATGAAGGTTTAGTAACCATGGTGGACAGTCGAAACGGAGAGAGGATCTATATTATGTATAGTAGACGCTATGCCAGCTTGCAAGAATATTAGAAAAGCTTTTATAACATTTTGATAAAGTTACAGTAACATTGTAAAGTAAATCTAGGTATATTTTTAGCACCTGTGTTTTGTTGTGCGCTTACCTACATTAATAATATCACTCAACATCGGTGCCCACTGGGATATTTACGACCAAAAAGCAACCAATGTATTGATTTGAACAACATAAGTAAAAATGATAACTTACATAATTTTCAAACCCGTCAATTTATTGATACAAACAACACCAATTACATTTCTGTGTTATTCCAAATAACAGCTAGCAATCAATTTGTTGTGCGAAAAATAATACTCAATATTTTTGACACCAAATAATATCATTTCTAATTTCGGATTAGAGATGATCAAATTGAGTGTCTTCAGGCTTAATTTGGAGATCCGTTTGATTATAATTTTCGGGCTCCTCGGGCCAATCGTAATTTCATTTTCTTGATTTTATCAATTCTTCAGCGGGGTCCTTGTTTTTGATCGGGATTAAAAGATTTTATTCTGAAGAGGAAAACTTCTGGTGGAAATTTTAGGGAAAATGTTACGAGTAAATATTAGATTATTCTGATTTTATTTAATGTTTATGTCTAGACGCCGTTTATGACAAGATTATTGTTATGACAAATTTAGTTATATGATAGTAAGCTATTTGTAGGATTTTGCAAAAAAGTTATAAAAGCTCATACGAAATCAAAGTTACCCTATAATTATGTGTAAATATGAGGAGGTACATTAATCGCATTATCCTGGAATATTTTATCGCTATTCATAAATAAAAATCATATCAAATCAATAATTCTATAAAGTTAAGGAAACTGGTCATGACAAAAAATCAAAACCGCTTCAAGTATAAACCAAGTACATCTGTCAGTCTTAAACTTATTTGTCAGTACGTTATTTTGTAAATAGTTGCCAACCCTTGTCTTTTTACAAATTGATCAAAATCACCGCCTGAATTTGACAATAAATAACGACTTCTCTTGGAAAGGGACGTGACGTCACGTCTGGTAGCGATCGCTGGTTATGACGTCGCACATGACAATCAACACTGTAGCAAGTCAACAATTTTAGTTTTCGAGTCACTTATAATTATAACTTTAGAATCTTGAGATTCATAATTGCTTTCATTGTATCAATGTTTGGGGGAAGTTTGGCATACTTTAACAGTATCACCTAACTATGTATAATTCTAATATCTTTACCTCAATATTATATTTTTATGACGTCTTCTTTAAAACAATTGCATGTTTTATCAAAATTTTAAAGTTTTACCCTGTAAAATCAATATAATCAATAAATATTATCCGCCTTCCTTCTAGCTAATAATCTTCTACAGTACCCATAAAACGGCGACCGTTTTCCATCGTGTGGGGAAAATAAGTTTAGTTTGACCTACGTAGAGCCTATTTCTCACACCTGTTTGGCAGTTGTACACGTGTAGCAAATGGGGAACTAAACTTCTGAAGTGTGTAATTTAGTACACATTTATTGTAAAGTTACGGCCTTCTATGTTTGTTTTATACATAATTTTTAGTAGCTAGATTATATAAGATTTTAAACTTTTAGCGTTCCATTCGCGCTTGTGACCACGGCTGCAGCATAGCAGCCGAAACATCAAGCCGTGAGTACATAATATAACTAATTAATAAACGTCGCGTTAAGACCCGTGTCTTACTATTTTAGCTGGAGATATTAAAGTCAAAATTAGGTAAAATAACAATACAAATTCAAATTAACTCGTGGAACCCTAAGCGGTAGCATATGAGACCGCGGTGACAAATGATTTCTATTGTGACTCGATTCGCTGGTACTTGAAAGGCTGCTAAACTAAAAATACTTTTTCCTACAAATTCTCAAAAATTGGGTAAATTGGCTATCACTGGGTTTGGTTCAACTGCACCCAATTTCAAATCGCATAGAGTTCGCGTATTCCAAACGGGGTGAATCTTTGACGAGCGCGTTTCACAAACGCTTCCGTAGTTTATTCACAAACCCACCAGATGGGCGAAATTCAAAGGGATCTCTTCAAAGCAGTTTCAAATTACTTGATATTTGTAACTGTACACTACACATTAATCATTTAATAGTTTTAACTACCTTTTTTTGCTCACAATTAGGAAAATTATAGTCTTTTGATCTGCACCTGCATAGTAAATTCGAGCTTCACTCGAATCTCAGAAGAACTTATCTAATCTTCTAATTTGCAATAACAATGAATCAAATATTCCATTATTAATCAGCATGAAGTTTTGAATGAGTGAAAACGTCTATGATCGTACAAGAAAGTTTAGGACTGAATCATTCATTCCTAGTCCTAGAAAAAAAAAATGATTAAGTTTTATTTCGTCTAACACAACAATCCATTTCGAATGGTATAATGGTCGCGCATATTCCGTCCAAACCGGTGAATCATTGACGAAGCGTTTTCCTAACGCTTTCCGTAGTTTATTCATATAAAACCCACCACCTGATGGGCGAATTCCAAAAGCCTTCCGAAAACTATTTGCGATTCAAGGTGTTTTTAAACATTGTGCAGTTGTAATCAGATGTTTTTATGTGTTGTTATGTGCTGTCAATAACTAAATAACAAATACTTAGTACCTACCTAATTAAAAACATAGTTAATAGTTATTTAATTTTTAACGTTTAGAGTCGCATCTCAAACTAATTTGAAAATTATAAATAGGTACCTAACCTGAAAAAGTCGTGGGTTCAATTCCCGCCTAAGGCAGTTCGATCTTTTCATGTTTCATTATAATCTTGTGTAACAATTAATTATTAAGGCTTTCGTCTCAATCAGTCGATTTGACTTCAGGTATCCGTTTTATTTTCTAATTAAATGGCTTGAAATTATTTAATGGGTCAATCGTATGAGACAATTATTATTATATTAATTTCCAGTTCATTATTTATGATTTGAGAATTGAGAATAGGTACTAGAATTCGGTAGGACTAGAGAATCTAGGCAAAATAATCAACTTTTTTTATTTTTACTCTAATAAGCTGATTTTTCAAAAATGTTGCATTAAATGGTAACAGATTTGGACTTTCATCTGGGTTATCATAACAGCATAATACCTATTTTTTTAATACAATAGGCATCAGGTAATATCAGATTTGATATGTGCCTATAATAATAAAAGATATCC